TGACTATCACCTTAGGTCTCCTCCAACCTATCCTAGCTAGAAATTAATTTAAAATAATTAACTATAGCATTTTATAGAAAATAGGGAGTGTAATATCACATTGGGAGCCTTATATAACACAAATGTAGTTAGAATCTTTAGGTTTAGAATTATTTTTCTATTTGTAATAAAGTTTCTACTATAGCATTATATTAAAAAAAAAAAAAAAAAAAAAAAAAAAAAAAAAAAAAAATTTAATAATAACAATTTCTTATAAATTTCTTAAAAGACGAATTCTCGAATTGTAGAATTGTCATTGCTTCTTAATGATTTGATTAATTTTCTAGCAATTTTTTTTTCATCAGCCAGTAACTTTTCTTGATAAATATAAGCTTCGTATAATTTTCATAAGCATTGAATTCAGATTCCAAATTTATGTCCAATTTTAAGGGATAATTAAATTATTTGCTTAATAAAAAAGTTTCTTGAATAAAGCATATTCATCTGGACACAATTTGCTAAAAACTTGATCCATAAATGTATAGATACATATTGATCTATACATCTATATAAAAAAAAAAGTCGAAAATTAAATATTTAATATGTTAAATGGCAAAATTCAAAAATTTGCAACTTGATCTATAGTTTGATGTTTTTGCAGACATGCATGTCCGTTATAATATATAATAATTTTGAATGGAGTATATGTTGAATGGTGTTCAGAGTGTGTCATTCAATATGTAAATTGTCTTGTAAAATTCGAAATTTTTAATTTTTTACTTTGAGCAACATAATAATTTTTTTTTAAAAAGCAATATTATGATTCAACAGAAATTTTACTATGTGTTGTGCACCATCGCTTGAAGTTTCTTGCTTACTTGATCTAGGCATAAATTTTTGGTTCATTATGGTCGTTTAATAGTACATCATAATTGCTTGATATAATATTGAAAAGAATATAAAGGATAGAAAAGTTTTCAGACACGATTTCAAGAAAGCCATCTTACTAGTAGTCTTTTATTGACTATTGCACTAGAGTATAATTGATTAATATCATGGTGAAATGATCATTGAATCGTGTTATATTGAAGTTACTGAATAGTTAACTATACTAACTTTAGCTTGACTCAGATATAGTATATTTTTTTTTCATTCTGAAACGTAAAATTTTTAGGTTTTTCATTCTAAAACATAAAAAATTTTGGGTTTATTCTTAATAAAGGTCTTTAACTTAACTCGGGTGCAGTATATTGTTTTTTTCATTCAGAAACGTAAAAAAATTTGGGTTTTTCATTCTGAAATGTAAAAAATTTTAGGTTTATTCTTAATAAAGGTTTTTTACTTTAATGCTATTATAAGCATAAATTGTCACATTGAGTTTGTAATTTTAGCGAACAAGACTTTATAGGCTTCTTAACATATAGCTCTATAATAAAGGATAAAGTATAGTTTATTGTTAAGAGATTACAATTAGAAATAGAATCAGCTTAATCGGTTAAAAATTTAAAGTTTCGAAGAGCTAAGAATTATTTATATGTATTATTAGTAGTACAAATTTAACAAAGAATTTTGAATGAAAAGATCTGGTGTAACAAATATAAATACCAGTGTAATACTTATATTTTAACTGTAAACTTTCAAACATTATCTAAGATTTTTTATCCAATCATAATTTTAACCCTATTATTGGATTTTAGTCTAACCCACAATATTTATATAAGTATACAATGTATAAGTGTTCTGAACCAAGCTGTGATAGATACTTTAGCCATCGTTCTTCTTATCGCAACTATATAAAAACTCACAATAATATAATTGAAAACCTTCTTCAAGAAGCTACTATAGAAAGAAGAAGTAATATACTAAGAAATGTGCAGCAAGCTAATCAATGGGATGGTGGTTTTGTATTAGGTTTTAGAGGAGAAATAGAAAATATTGAAACAGAATTTGAAGAACATATGGATTATGAAATAGACAAAATAACAAATGGTTTAGAGTCTGATTATAGTGAAGAAAGAAATGATAGAATTAATGAAGCAGATGATAGAGAAATAGACGATAAAGCAGATGATAGAGAAATAGATGATGAAGCAGATGATAGAAATAATGAAATAGATAATGAAATGGATGATGAAGCAGAATTTGAAGATGATGAAGTAGAATTTGAAGATGAAATAGATGAAATAGATAAGGTATATATTGTATAGTACATATGATCATCTATTGGAGTTGCAGGTGAAGCTAAGTTTGAGAGTTTGAGCTTACTATAGTTTTAACTTACTATAGTTTCAGCCTAAGTTTAATTGCTATTGCACTAATTAATTTTCACCGTATTTAACAAATTTTCACCAGTTTCACTGCAACTTCAGCCAGTTTCGTCTACAACTCTAATATGTATATATATATATATACATATATATCATTGTATATATTAAAATATTTTTAAGGGCTCAATATTGATGTAATACAAACAATTATATTTATATACATACAGATGAATATTATGGAATGTCAATTGTTTGAGGTTAAACCTTCATTAGTTTTCGAGTCTCTTGATGTTAGATCAATAAACACTAAGAATATATCAAATTTTCCAAGTGAAGAATTTGGTAATTTTATGAAATTAGTTATCAAATGAAACTTGTCTGATATATGCGGTGGTGAAATACTTCATTTTTTAAACAAAGTATCACGTGACGATATAATCTTACCTACCTCAATTCAACAAGGAAAGCAATTTTTAGATAAAATTAGTGTACCACATATTTCTTTTAAGAAAGTACCAATAATGGAATATGAAAAAGACATATACTATTTAAATTACCGTCCGATTTTTGATTGTATTAAGGAATTATTAACCAATAAGAACATACTTAATCATTGTGTTTTCGAATTTTCATCGTTATACTATGATGAACAATGAATATTTAATGAACAATTTAATGGAAAATGGTGGAAAGAAGTACAAAAAACAATTCTCAACCAAGCAAATGTTCTATCAATAATATTGTATTCTGATGCAACCACATGTGATCAGCTCGGAAAGACAAATGAACACCCTGTTTATTTGACATTAGGTAATATTCCTAGTTAGAGGAGGAATAAACCAGACGCTAAGAGTCTTCTTGCTTATCTTCCAATTATCAAACCAAAATCAGCTATACAAAAAAATTCTGTAAATTTTTATTTGCAAAACGATTTGCATACCAACATTCTTTGGATGAACTTTAAAACCAATACTTGATTATAAAGACAATGGGTTTGATCTTCAGATGAATGATGAAGATTTATGGTGCTACCCATTTGTTTCAGCCTTTTTAGATAATATTCCAGAACACTCATTGTTAATATTAACATATAATTCTGTCAATTGTAAATATCTATGTCACGGATGCTTAGTATCAATTGATAAAATGAATGATATTAAGCTAAATGATAATCAGATTATTTTAAGAACTCCTAAACAAATGAAAACTATTATAAATCAAGGTCTTACAAAACAATATTCCATATACAATATGGAAAACATATTCTGGAAATATCTGTGAGTATATATTAATGTAACTTAAATTTTATAACAAATATATATAATAATATATTATATACTTATTTAATAAATATTAGCCAATTAAATATTTACCTGGCTACAATTCCGGATAAGATGCATTACTTAGACCTAGAATTATTTAAATATCAAGTGCAATATATCTGCAAATTATTAAATGATACTTGTGGAAAAATAGCAATTGATAAGCTTGATATCTGGTTAGCAAAAATTTCAAGATTTCCAGACTTAAAGTGTTTAATAAAGATCTTGAGAATATCAAACGCTTTACATCTGATAAATTTCGCAATATGATAAAAATTTTTCTTTTTGTTGTTGAAGGAATTATTATAATTGACGATTCTCCAGTCAACTGAAGAATGATCATAGTGAAACGTGATGCGGTTTTATATATAAATTACTATAGG